ACATAAATCCCAGCAACTATGACTCCAAAATGTCAAGGTCTATTTCCTCCAAACTCCACCAGTGTACACATTTGGGCATATTGAGTATTTATGCCAAGTTTGGTCCAGATCCATCATTGTTTGCATCCACAGTGGATGTAGGAGAACTACAACTCCAAAAGTCAAGGTCAATGCCCACCAAAGCCTTCCATTGTTTTCTATTGGTCATCGGAGTTCTGTGTGCCAAATTTGGTTCAATTCCATCATTGGTGCAGTTCAGAATGCTCTTTGATTGTAGGTTAACTATAAATCCCAACAACTACAACTCCCAAATGACAAAATCAATTCCCTCCAACCCCACCAGTATTCAGATTTGGGTGTATTGGGAATTTGTGCCAAATTTTGTCCAGTGAATGAAAATATGTACATCCTGCATGTCGAATACTTATATTACGATTCATAACAGTAGCAAAATTACAGTTATGAAGTAGCAACAAAAATAATATTATGGTTGGGGGGGTCAACACGACATGAGGAACTGTATTAAGGGGTCGCGGCATTAGGAAAGTTGAGAAACACTGATCTAGGTCATTGATTAAAAAAAATTAAGTATTGGCCCGGTATTCTGGAGCATTCTAATTGCCTCCAGTTTTAAATTATGACTCTTTGAACAGTTGCCCAACCACTTATAGATCTATCTCAAAATGATCCCATCTATTCCATATTTAATCATTTCACCATTCAAAGTATTTATTATGAAGAGGACAACATCTTTTGCAAAACCAGATTAAGGAAGTTAAGGTGTTATTGAATGTTATTAATAGTTTTGATGAAACTGAATTTGTTGTTTTAGCTGCCACGGAAGTGTCATAGACACATTGTCCATTTTTACTGAAGACATTATCACATGAAGCAACTATTCCATGGCAGTTCTGTGATTACCAATAGCAGCTAGATATCACCACAAACACCCTCGTTATCATACCTCTCTCCAATTGCACAACTGTACTGATTTACAGATCCATGGCCCTTCACTCATAATTCTGCATATTCTCTTAACCCTGCCTTCCTGCACTTCCATTGCTCTGTAATATTTTAATTAATTTTTAAAAGCAATTTCACAGTTGCAGCTATGGTTAATTTTAAAAGGCCAAATATAATTACAAATGTAAAAATTAACAGGTTGGGAACAACAAGGGGAAAGGGAGGACAGGGGGAGACAAGGAGAATCCTTCCCCCTGACAAAACTTCAGTGTCAGTGTGCCAGCACAGAAGTATAAAGGCCTCATTGTACAACGTAGGTTAACAGGAACTTTGTGCATTTGGCAGCTATGGGCAGATTTTTCCTGCTAATAGGAGATTTGTTAATCATGCAGCGAAAGCAAGCTTGGCATTGGGATTTGCCTCATATCATACAATACAGTCCTGCATTACTTCAACAGAAGGGACTTAAAAAGCCAAAAAAAGCAAAAAGACACTACAGCACATGCGCAAAAACTCCCCTTGGCAAACAAAACAAAAAATAGCATATCCACACTCTCTTGGGGACTACAGCTCCCAACATCGCCTAGATCTGGCCCTTTAGGAAAGGAGGATAATTCAAATGCACTGCTTCCAAGCTGCAAGCTTTCTTCTCCTTGGATTTCTTTGAGAGCATCCCAATCCCTGCATATTTCTAACTTCCTATTCCTGGACTGCAACTCCCAGCAATAAAATATATAGATAGATTAGATAGAGATAGATAGGTAGGTAAATAGATTGATCAGGAGAACTGCTGGGAGTTGCAGTCCAAGAATAGGTAGAGAAGGAAGAAAGGGGAGAAAGGGAAAGGGAAAGAAAGGGGGGAGGAAGGGAAGAGGAAGCGAAGGAAGAAAGGAGAGAATGAAAGAAAAAAAGGGAAGGAAGGAGAGAAAGAAAGGAGGAGAGAAAGAGGGAGGGAAGGTTGGCCATGGCAACGCATGGCAGGTACAGCTAGTATTACATAAATACATAGACTAATAAATAGGAGTTTACAGGTATAACAAAATGCATGCTGTAAAATTTAGATTTCTACAAACTTGTTAATAATAAATGATAAAGTACTTTTGGAAGAAAAAGTATCACGTTTACTTGTCTTGGTATATACTACAGCTCTTTGAACTATTTATGTATGTCCTTCTAAGTTAAATGGATCTTATACCCAAGTGAATGTTCACAGGGGATTTAAATATTTGTATTTATAGAACTCAATTTCATTCCATACTAGAAAATTATCCATATCAGGAAAATAAAGCAGCTACAGTGTGTGTGGATGTGTAAGAAAGCTGTATATTGAAGAGACATTGAAATATAGGAGGATAGTGTCAATGGCACAATAGATCTGCACATCCAACTTCCTTTGAAACTTTTATATTGTATTACACAAATAAGCACTTTTCAGATAGCAATGTTAGTCTATGTCTGCAAAAACAACAAAGAACCTTCCACAGCAATATGAGCTAACTAAATTAAAATACTCAACTGAGTTTAACATTTCCAAACAAAGTTTTTAAACAAAAACAAATAATTTTATTAAAGTATTTTAGGTAACCTAGCTGACTTAAGATGGAATGTTACCATGAATGTATTTTCAGAATTACATTATTAAATAGGTTATCAATGCATTAAATAAGAGCTAGTGCTAAAAAGTAGGATTTTATTTCAGTAATAACTGAAAGTACAGCTCATGCTACCTAAATGCATACACTCCAACATTTTACAAATGAAAACCAGGACACATGTGGCTAAGCAGCATCAGTGTGATCAAGACAGCAAACGTTATTAAGGAGAACAAACATTCCAGAAAGGCTGAAGCTGTTGCTTTTGCCTGGGCCTACTAATGAGGGTAGAGCTAACTAAGGACCTCATCAGACGGCTTTTTCCCCGTCATAGGATACTACTGAGAAGCAGCCAGGACGGAACCCATCCTGGCTGCCTTAGGGTAGAGCTAACTAAGGACCTCATCAGATGGCGCTTTTTCCCATCCTAGGACACTGCTGAAAAGCAGCCAGGAGGGCTACTTCTGGCAGAGCCTCATCCCAGCTCCATCTTGGCTGCATCATGGCAGCGTGTTGAGAGACAGCCTTGAGAACACGTGTGATGACCTGTATTCTCACTGACTAAGCTGGAGATAGCACGAGACAAAGCCGGGGGCCGATGGCAAGCATCATGGGATATTAAGGAGGCAATGCGGGGCACTGACTAACTGTTTCCCCCCACTGCCCCACGGATTCTCCCACTGTCCCCTGGCTAATGGACTGCCGTCAGATGAGGTCCTAAGTTTATTGTGAGCTAATTATACAGCTTTATCTCTGTTTGCAGCAACATAAGGGAAGTGAGAGGAGGAGAGATAATCTGAGACATTTTAAAAATAACTAAAAATTGAGACAACATAGGGTTAACTGGAACTGACTCTGCCAAATCAGAAAGGTTGAAGGTTATGTAAATGGGAATGAAAAAAATCTTAAGAATGCTTATATGCCTAATTAGGTTTGTCACCAGATGGTTTAATAAATGCAAATGATTAGAGCTATTTATTTTAAATTATGTTTAGAATATGACAGGTTAGAATTCAAAGTTTAAAAGTTTTTAAATAACCAAGGAAATGATGGAAAGTGGTGGAGCTTTTTGTATCTGCTCTATATTAGATACTGCATTAAAGCTACTTCTCTGTCCCAGGAAATTGAACTTCAGGGACTTTAGCTGAAACTCAAGTAAGAAGATAAAATTATAACAGAAAGAGAAACCAAAATAAGATTTGGGGTAAAGTGAATTAACATGGAAGAAGGCTTTCTCTAATATGGGGAATGTCTCATTCAATGCCTAACTGGGATCAGTATTAATTTCATTACAGCACCATGTAATAATATATCTTATTACTTAAGCATAAGTTATTTATAATAACATTTGCATATACATGGTTGAGCTGCAAAATTGTTAAATATTCTGTATCCATTTAAATCATTTGTATTGCTTTATATTTTAAATTCTTTTAAATCGATTATACTGATTTTACTTATCTGCCACCTTGATATACGGAATATAGAGCAGGATAGAAATAAATAAGATAATTGCACACAAAACTAATAACTCTTAAACTCTTATAAACAATTCCTAGATATGGCAATTTGCAGATAGATTTGGTTCCTTTCCCAAAATCAGAACCAGACAAACTGCTATCAGTTGCTTACATAGGAGAAGTCCTAATCCCATTACTTTGGTATTGGGATGAAAATGTTTTTAGTAGAAAGAAGGGCAGCCTATGGTCCACTTTTAGAATTGTAGTTCAGCACAAGCATTTGCTTACCCTTATTGTACCAGAGATTACATCATAGTTTCTAAGCATCAAATAATCAGATGAACACATTAACAAACTTGGATTTTGCCATTTCATCTGCAGAAGTATATTCTTTGTATATCAGGGAATTGCAAATCACAGCTACGGATGATTCTTGCTTCTCCACTTCCTCTGAATTCTTGTGCTTAACTAATACTAATCATATCAGTCATTCACCAATGCACAAGAGAAACTATTACTTTTTCCTAAGATAAGACTGGTCTCCTACTTCCCTCACACAATATAGTTAATAGAATGTCAACAGATCAATTCAGTCTCACTCACCCATCAACATAGTTTTTTTATGTTGGTTGATCACTTGCTAATTTGGCATTTCCTGATCTGTATGTGATATAACTCTTAGACACCTAGCTATTTTGCATCTTTGTGAACAAAAATAACCTTATTTCTAAAAACAATATCCCCACATCAAATATGTGTAGCATGGAGATTAAGAGATAATTATATAATTAGAACATATACAAAATCCATCTGTAGAATATGGCACCATTAAGATTACACTGAAACTACTTTTAAAGAACATCATGAACTACCTAAGGTCACAGCAATTATTTAGTTCATTTGAAAATAAAACAATATAATGACAAAAACTAACCCACTACATATTCTTTACTACCAAAACGTCAGATGTGAGGGGGATTCTTACCTTTCTCACTAACACTTTCACTTTCAATTTCTACATCATCACAGCTGGTATATTCTGGAGTAGAAGCCAACTCTTCTTCAGAACTGCTTAGTGACACTTGACGCATTTTACCACCCTTTTTTGTTTTATGAGGTTTTGGTGGAGGAGGCCTAACTGATTCCGACTGGTCTGAACTTAACGAATCATTCCTTAACATGGTTTCCATTTTTTCACGTTTTGTTTTTCGGACAGCTGAACTGGGATCCAAATGGTGCTGTTTCCTTAATGAATCAGTCCGCCTCATTTCCGGCCTATCAAAAGGAATTGGACTCCTCCTAGGAGTTGGAGGACTGTGATTTGTGGTCCTCTGCCGATTGGGACTTAGTCCCTGAGTTCTTTCCATTGAATATGAACGTTGGTCCATGGCAGCTCTGCGTTCAGATGCAGACCTTTGCCTTGATGGCCGCTCCATTCTCATCATCGATAGCCGGGAATCCTCCAATTCAGTATTTGCCAAAGACACATCACTGTGCCTTCGTTCATGGCGTGCTCGAGACACTTCAGCATGAATACGCATTTGTTCCTCATATGGTTGTGGTTTGACAGGATAACGAGCCAAATTAGGATCACTCCGGTACCGAGCTTGGTACTCTTCTTCCCGCCGCTGCCTCTCATAATCCTCTCTATTTTGTATTTCATCTTCTTCTAAAGGATATTCTCTTGAATGCCTGCGACTTCTCCTGTTGGAATCCCTGTAATCATCAAGTTCAGGTTCTTCATATAATTGAGAGCCATGCTGTAATCGTCTGTCTGCATAATCTGATGGTGATCTTGGCATTGCACTGTCTGATGTTGCATACTGTGAATAGTCGTCTCTCTCCTCCAACTGGTTGAACCTTCTGTTTTGATCTCTGGATATCGATGGGCTTCTTTTTCTGTGTGTTCAAGAGGGGGGGGAAAGAAAATTTCATCAATATTTCTTATTTTTACATTTTGTCTGTAGCCAACTAACCAAGCACTTACTATTTCCAACTAATGGAACTGCAATAACTTTTTAACTTCCATACAACCTGGTTATTTAAATAGAAATGCATAACGTTAAACTGAATTGATTTTATAGAGCTGGTGTAACATAGCAGGTACAAGACTGAACAATTTAAATCTCATATCCACCAGAATACTCTCTAGTTGGCCTAAAGTCATCATCAACCATAGATCTACCTGAAATAGGGTAAGGATAATGTCTCAGTTCCCAGGATTTCTATATTCAAACAATAACACATGAGATGACTAAAGTAATGTAATACGGCTTTACTATTATTTTAATTCCATATATTCATATACATAATTATAGAGGCTGAGCATCCCTTGTCCAGAATTCCATAATCCGAAATATTTCAAAATCCAAAATTATCCACATGGTGGATAAAATTGGGGCACCTTTTTTTCTGATGGTTCAATGCGCACAAACCTTGTCTTGTGCACAAAATTATTATAGAAATTATTATAGAAAATGTTACGTACAAAACAAAGATGGATAAAATATTGCATAAAATTGTCTACAGGCTATGTATAAAGTGTACACGAAACATAATTGAACTTCATATTTAGACTTGGGTCTCATCTCATTATGTACATATAGGAAAATGCAGGTATTCCATAATCTAGAAAAAAATCCAAAATCCCAAACACTTCTAGTCCCAAGCATTTCAGAGAATGGATACACAACCTATATATGTCCTAATTTAAATTAACATGTATGATTGGATCCTTAAACAAGTTAACTGAAAAAGAAGTTCACAGAAGTTTCTTCTCCTCTCCACCTCTCTGAAGCAACAGGTTCAATTGCACTCAATGAGTTGTAGCCAACTGTTTCTATCTACACCAGAACAAACTCCAAGATCCTGCCTCACACACACACTTTCCCAAATATCTCTTCCAGAAGATTAGGAGACCCTTCCTTCTGAATTAAATGTAGTGGTGGGGGATTCAAGTTAAGAAGAGGAAATTCCACTGCATGAAATAAGAGTGGTGGAAGTCACTATGTTTTGCTTTTAAACATGCATGTAAAAGAATGCATTGTGTTACCTTAGAATCTAGAAAATAATTATTAATTGGGCAAATTTCAAGAAAGGAGAAAGAAAGTAAACAACTATCTTCTCATAAATGCAGATAAATAATATATGTATTTCTGATGGTTTTAATTTTCTGTGTGAAGTTAAAAAATACCAGAATACCAGTTTTTACCATAGAGTCACTTAAGAAAAAGAAAGTTAAAAATGTAAACATTGAAAATTAATATCGGTACTATAGATACCATACTGATAACTGATTTGTAACTGAAAATAGGAGAGACTCCATTCATAGTTCTCCCTGTCAGTCAGTACTTCCAGAAAGCGAAGGTCAAAGCTACGACTCTAGCTAAGGTAGCATCTGGAAGTGCTAAGTTAGTGTGTACATCTTTTCCACTGCTGACCCTGTGTAGGGAAGATGGAGAGGAACAACGTCAGCCACCTACTGAGCCAGTACTTCCATGATCAGGATAAGTTTTGAGGTTTTGCCTGCAGCTTTTACTATTATGTGCCTTCAACTCATTTCTGACTTATGGTCACCCTAAGATGAACTACTACAGCTGAGAATATGTGATTCCCCCAAGATCACCCAGGAGGTTTCCATGTATGAGTGGGAAATTGAACTTCAGTTTCAAGAGTCATCAACACTAAAACCACTAAACCATATTGGCTCTCCCTCTTCAAATGTAATAGTTCCTACATTGGCAAATGGTTACTTTTCAATATAAGATAGGACCACATGGAAAAATAAAAAAGTTAATCAAAAGCAGTGCTCAATTTTTTTTGATAATGCGCTTTTTTTTCATCTGCTACTTCCTGCTTCTCTTGAAAGTTATCAAGATAACATATTTTCAAAATCATTTTACCAATGTACTTATTTATAGAAATACCAATCAAAGCCTCATTCACAATTCAAATCCTTAATGGTTGGTATTCTTACAACAACATACATGTAACTTTGACCATGAATTTCACATTAGAAATTGGAATGTTTTGGTTTTAATATCTGCCAGGACAACGGAACTTGATCAATTCGCATATTAGATGCTAAAAGACACAAACATTTTCCTAAAGTTCGATGCCTATTCTTCCCTTGTGGTGTTTGAATTCTAAATCCTACATACTTTGAACTGATTTTGCTTTAATAACAGAAAGAGATAGCATATGTGAACTGCTTTATTTCTGTGAAGTGCTATATAAATAATATTGTTGGGAATTGTGCTAGACAGACATAATGAAAAAGAGCAAATTTTAAAAATGAGGTCACAAAGGGTCGGAGACGACTGAACGAATGAACAACAACAGAGAATCATTGCCAAAATGTTTTGAAGTACTGCTTCTCCTGTCTTCTTAACAGAAGAACTCTATCAAACTTGATCAAAAATAGAGATAAGATTGATCTGGAACTTTTTTTTTTTTTAGAACCCTTGTTGGCTCTTAGTGATCATGGCATTCCTTTCTAAGTGCTTGCAGACTGACTGTTCAATGATCTGTTTTTTAACTTTTCCTGACCAAGCTGATTGGTCAGTAATTGCTTGGGTCCTCATTTTTTGCCCTTTCTGAAGATGAGACAACATTTATACTCCAATCTGATGGCACCTCTCCTGTTCTCCAAGTATTCTCAAAGATTATTGACAATTGCTTTGCAATTTTCTTTAGTACTCTTAGGTACAGTTCACCTAGCCTTGGAGACCTGGATTTATTTAGTCATGTATTCCCTTACTACCTCTCTTTATTCCAGCTACAGTTCTCTTACTGCATGATTTATTCTATTTTCACCAATCAAAGCACTGTTTTCCTTTTGGGAGAAGACTAAAGGTTCTTCCAGACATAGCTAAATCCCAGGAGGAACTGAGATATTAAATTCCAGTTCCTCCCAGGATTTAGTCCCCACTCCTATCCCAAACCCCATGCTCTCCCTGGATTGACCCAAATGCCCTTCCAGAGGTTGACTCAGTAGGACATCCATCCACCCTCCAATATCCCATCCCCCTCCCAAAAAAATAAATAATCCGAGGAGCCTGCTGGCAGCTCAACCCCCTTCTGAGAGCTCTTCTGATGTGGGGAAATGATGTGTCAGGAGATGGAGGAGTGGGATGGAAATCCCTCAGGCAAGTGGGGGGGGGGATGGGGGATGGCAGGTGAGGGGTGGGTGCCATTGCACTCCTTTGGGCTCTTTGAGACAAAAAAAACCAGGATTGCTCTGGGATCACAGTCCCAAGAGTAAATCCCCAAAGGGCCCTCACCTGGAAAGATTTGGATTGTATCTTAAGGTCCAGATCTATCCAGGTGCTTAATTAATCCAGAGCAAACTGGGAAATTCGAGTTATCTACAGATTAATTCAGATTTACTTGAGATATCATTGGACACTTCAGGTAAATCTGAGACAGGTTCCGTGTTTTGGACCTCTATAGAAGGGTTCTTTGGCAGAGTGTATTGAATGGCTTGGCCTTCTCATTGTCCACCACTAGCATTTCCTCACCTTTTCTACACAGTGTCCTGTCATTTACTTGTTCTTCCTCTTGCTCTGAACACATAAATTTTATAACCATAATGCTGAGTGGACAACTCTGCCTAGACCCCATGCTCCCACCCATCCGTACCCCACAGGAAAAATACAGCAGATCATGAGCTGTCACACAGATGTTTGGGAGGTGCACAAAAACAGTCCCTTATTCATACACTATTGCTCCCCCACTGGTATCTCCCCCTGTCCTGAATAACTGATTTCCAGCAGGCAGAGAAACACAAATGCCTTAGAATGCTCCTAGATCCATCTCTCCAAACGTCAGCTCAAATAGATGTGATGGTCAAGAATGCTTACTGTCAGCTTCAGCTGAAATGCTAGCTGCACCTCTTCTTAGAATTTGAAAACCTAAAGATAGTAGTGCATGCTCTGGCACCTGAAGGCTGGACATCTGCAATATACTTAACATTGAGCTATTTCTATATTAAGTTTGAAAACCCCAATTAGTTCAAAATATGATAGTCAAATTTATTACTGGTACATCCAGAAGTGAGCATATCACATCGATTTACTAGTTGCCATTTAGTTTCTGGGCAAAGTACAAAATGTTGGTTATTACCTTTAAAACCCTACATGTTTTAGATGCAGGTTATTTGCAAGATCACATCCTCCAGTAGAATTCACGCTCAGGTCCTCAGGATGTCATTTAAATCAGTCAGGACTAGAATGGCACCTTTCGCCCAGAGGATCTTTTTTTTCAGCTGCCCCTAGACCAGTGGTTCTCAACCTGTGGGCCCCCAGATGTTTTGACTTTCAACTCCCAGAAATCCTAACAGGTGGTAAAGCCGCTGAGATTTCTGAAAGTTGTAGGCCAAAACACCTGGAGACCCACAAGTTGAGAGCCACCTCCCTAGACTGTGAAATGACCTGCTTGACTGTCTGAATTTTATAAACTTAGAATTAAATCTCTATCTCTTCCAGAAGGAAAGGATTTTGACATTTTATATGTATGGGGTATTTTAATGAGTAATGGTTTGTGTTTTCTTACACTTATCTGTTGTAATTGATGTGTTTAAAGCAGTTTTATGTGTTTTAGTTATATTGCTTTTTATGGATGTTGTACCCCACCTCAAGCTTTGATAAGAGGCATGCAAAAACTTTTTTAAATCATCATCACTTCCATGCACCCTCACTGACTATCTCTCTCACAGCAGGAGACTCTTGGTGTGTGTGGGGGGGTGGTTCACTTTTTAAAAAGTTTATATATACAGTACATTCAAGAAAATCTTCTCAAAAGTCAGGGGTCGTCTTATACGCGGGTGTAGTCTTATGCATGGGAGTCGTCTTAACTCTATATTTTAACTGGAAAAGTTAGGGGTCGTCTTATACGCCCAG